TCTGAGTATAAACCTTTTCTTGGGTTTTTATAATAGTAGTCTCATACAATATTTGTCCTTTTGTGATTAACTTATTTCACACAAGATAATGCCCTCCAGATTCATCCACGTTGTGAGGTGTTTCTCGGATTCATCACGGCTCTTTATCGTTGTGTAGTATGTACCATAATTTGTGTATGTACCATGATTTGTTTATCCATTCATCTGTTGATGAGCACTGTTTCCATCTTTTTACTATTGTGAATAATGCTGCAATGAACATGGGTGTGCATATGTCTATTTGTATGAGGGCTATTATTTCCTTAGGATATATTCCCGGGAGTGGGATTGCAGGATCATATGATATTTCTATTTCTGGCTTTTTAAGGAGGCGTCATATCATTTTCCATAGTGGTTGGACCATTTTCCATTCCCGCTAGCAGTGCATAAGAGTTCCAATCTCCCCGCAAGATCTCCAACGTTTGTTATTTTGTGTTATTTGGATTAGTGCCAGTATTGCCGGTTAGATGGTATCTCATTGCAGTTTTGATTTGCATTTCTCTAAAGGCTAATGATCACGGGAATTTCCTTTTGTGTCTGTTAGCCACCTGCATGTCTTCTTTGGTGAAGTATCTGTTCATATCCCAGTCTGTAGGTTCTTTTCTTACTCTTTTGGTGAAGTCTTTTGATAAGCATAAGTGTTTAATTTTTAGGAGCTCCCAGTTATCTAGTTTATCTTCTGGTGTTTGTGCATTGTTATTTATGGTTCGTATTATATTTATGCCATGCATTAGTATCCCTAGCCTTGTCCCTATTTTTTCTTCTATGATGTTTGTCATTTTAGATTTTATATTTAGGTCTTTGATCCATTTTGAGTTAGTTTTTATGTATGATGTGAAGTATGGATCTTATGTCATTTATTTACAAGTGGACATCCAGACATTCTCTTTTTCCCCATTTAATGATCTTTAAGCCATTAACTTTTGAGATATAAGAGACAGAAGTGAGCAGAGAGACAGGGGGATCTCATACCATCAAGAAAGCAACACCGGGAGAAGAGCGTGTCCTTTGGACCTGAGGCTCCTATGCAGAGAAGCTCCTTGACCAGGGGAAGATTGATGACAAGGACCTTCCTCCAGAGCTGACAGAGAGAGAAAGCTTTCCCCTGGAGCTGATGTCCTGATTTGGACTTATAGCTTACTAGACTGTGACAGGATAAACTTCTCTTTGTTAAAGCCATCCACTTGTGGTATTTCTATTATAGCAGCACTAGATAACTAAGACACTTCCCAATTCTTTTAATGAGTGTAATAAATCCTGAAACAAAACCTGACAACTATATTATAAGAAAGGAAAATCACAGAACAATCTTTCTCATAAACATAGAAGTAAAAATCTTAAAAAATATATTAACAAATCAAACTCAGCAAAATTTAAATATGATAATTTAACACAACCAAGTAGGGTTGATTCTAAGAATACATGTGTAGTTTTACGTTTAAAAACTAGTCAATAGGTCTTTATTTGTCTGGAGTGACAGAGGAAGAAGGAGAGTCAGGAATAGGAGGAGGAAATGGAAGGTATGGCTAATTGCCTCCATAAACAAATGCCTCCTTTTCTATGAGACCAGAAGAACTGGATGATGCTTGGCTAACATTACTGAAAGTTCTGGTCAAAGATTCTATAGAAGAATTCAGATCAAAAGGTGGGAAAACACCAAAGAGAATTTCAAATTCTCATGGATTCCAGATTTTCTGGAGCCATTGAAGCTGGATGAACCCCTGAAACTACTGCACTGAGATAATTTTTAATTCTTAAACCAAAAATATGTCCTACAGTCTTCTTTAAACCAAACAATAGGTTAGTTTAATTAGTAAAGAATGTCTGCCTTGAGCATTGTGCTCTTTTAAAGAACTGTCTATATGGGATCAAACTGACAACAGAAATTTGAAACGTTACATAGGAGGTTAGGAGACATTGAGTTCATGTTAACGGGGAAAGAACAATTCAGAAAAAGAGGGTGAGAATGATTGCACAACTCAAAGAATGTAATCAACATCACTGAATTGTACATGTAGAAATGGTTGAATTGGTGTATGTTTAGCTGTGTATATTTCGAACAACAATAACAAAAAATATAATAAAAACTTAACCAATATAATTGTCATGGATTGAATTGTGTCCCCCAAAAATATCTATCAACTTGGCTGGGTAATGATTCCCAGTATTGTACGATTGTGTACCATTTTGTAAATCTGATGTGATTTCCTTATGTGTTGTAAACTCTGTCAGTATGATGAGGTTGTATGTGATTTCCTTACATGTTGTAAACTCTATCACTATGATGAGGTTATACTGATGAGGTTTACAAGATTAGATAGTGTCTTAATCCAATCTCTTTTGAGCTATAAAAGAGAAAAGCGAGCAGAGACACAATGGGAACCTCATACCACCAAGAAAGCAATACCGGGAGCAGTTCTTGTCCCTGAACTGTTGTGCCCCATTAGTCTCGTCTTGTTTTATGGGGCTGTCTAATCTTTGGCTGAACGACGAACCTTGGGAACGACTTCATTACTGATTTAAAAGGGTATCCGGGGGCCATACTCTTGGGGTTTCTCCAGTCTCTGTCAGGCCAGTATGTCTGGTCTTTTTTTGTGAGTTAGAACTTTGTTCTACATTTTTCTCCAGCTCTGTCCGAGACCCTCTGTTGTGATCCCGGTCAGAGCGGTCAGTGGTGGTAGCTGGGCATCATCTAGTTGTACTGGATTCAGTCTGGTGGAGGCTGTGGTAGTTGTGGTCCATTAGTCCTTTGGACTAGTCTTTTCCTTGTATCTTGTTTTCTTTATTCTCCCTTGCTTCTGAAGTGGTGAGACCAGTAGAGTATCTTAGACGGCTGCTCATAGGCTTTTAAGACCCAGACGCTACTCACCAAGATAGAATGCAGAACATTTTCTTTATAAACTGTATTATGCCAATTGAGCTAGATGTTCCCTGAGACCATGGTCCTCACAGCCCTCTGCCCAGCAATTCAGTCCCTCAGGGAGTTTGGATGTGTCTATGGAGCTTGGAGGAAGTTTTCTTAATATGAAAAAGTGTATCTCTGAAAAAAAGATATGAGACAAAGATTCTCATTCTCGTTTTATTCAAGTGATAGCATGTTTAAAATGTCATTTTTTCATGTGATTTTATTGGAATATAGAAATGCAATTGATTTTGTATTTTTACATTTTTTTATTTTCTGGATTTTTGTATATCCAGTGACCTTGATAAATTCACTCTTTAATTTCAAAGGTGAGTTTTAAATTCACATATACAAATAATGACAGTGCTATTTCCTCCTTTCAAATCCTTAGTATTTCATGTCTTTTTCTTTTTTCAAATGGCAAGGACTTCTCTACCATGTTGAAGAGAAGTGAATAGTGCTGCAGTGAACATGGTGTGCACATGTCTATTTGTGTCATGGCTCTTATTTCTTTAGGGTATATACCTAGGGGAAGGATTGTTGGATCATATATTTCTATTTCTAGCTTTTTAAGGAAGCACCATACCCTTTTCCATAGTAGTTGTCATCTCGCTAAAGCTGAACCATAGAAGAAGCTCACTGCAGTGAGGTGGGAAGAGCAGGTGGAGAAGGTCTTGTTTCTGCCTGTGATGGAGTTGATTCTCAGGACAGGAGACAATGTACCAAAGCTATGCGGAGCAGACAGGACAGTGACATTGATAGAGACACTGAACCAACCTTCTCTACCTCATCCCAAAATAGCTCTATGAATTTCTAAGACACCTTTCTGCCTTCACCTCCTTGTTTTTCAGGCTATAGATTACAGGATTGTCTGTGGGAGTGACTTACAATTTTTCAGGGGGCAATCAGGAAATTCTCTTAATGTCAACTCACCGGATATCCTGCTGTAGTACACTAATTTCCTGTCATCCTCTGTCTGTGGTCAGCAGCCTGAAATATTGGAAATATTTTCTCAAGGTCCTTCTCATAGCTGCTTTCACCTCATTGTTCTTCAAGCTGTAGATGAAAGGATTCACTAGGGGCGTGACCACACTGTACTGCACAGAGAAGATCATCTCCAATGGTGAACTTGAGGTTGGCATGATATAGCGAAGGAAAGCTGAGCCATAAAACAGGAGCATTGCAGTGATGTGGGAGGAGCAGGTGGAGAAGGCCTTGCTTCTACAGTGCAGGAGCTGATGCTCAGGATGGTGGACACAATGAGAATGTAGGAGAAAACAATCAGGACACAAGTTCCAAGTCCATGCAGGATGGTAGAGCAGAGCATAACAGTAAAACTGGTGGAAACGTCAGAGCAGGACAGAGGGAAGAGTGAGGGTAACTCACAGCTGTAGTGGGGGATAGACTGATTCTCACAGAAGTCCAAGTTTATCGCTAGCAAGATGTTTATGAATGCTTTCAGAAAGCCCAGGACCCAGGAGCCCCAAACCAGCCCCTTACAGAGCTGGTTGCTCATCATCTGGTCATAGAGTAGAGGGTGGCAGATGGCAACATAGCAGTCATAGGCCATCACTGTGAGCAGGCAGGTTTCAGTGCCCCCAGAGTCCAACAAAAAGATCTGAGCCATACCGTCCTTCACAGAGATGATTTTCTTCTGTGACAGAAGATTCTCCAGCAGTTTGGGCACTGTGGCAGAAGAGAAGAAAAAATCCAGGGAAGAGAGGTGACTCAGGAAGAAGTACATGGGAGTATGAAGGTAAGAATCTGCCCTGATGACCAGCAATATCAGTAGGTTCCCCATAAGAGTCAGGAGGTATATTACCAGGAACAAGACAAAGAGCAGAGCCTGGACATGGGGTCAGCAGACAGCCCGAGGAGAATGAACTCAAGGATGGTGCTGTGATTCCCCACATCTGTTTAGAGAGGCTGTTATCTATAAATAAAAATAGGAACAAACTTGTACCCTCTGTTGACTATATTCATTTATCAGAAGGGGGACCTTCATTCCAACTAGCTTAGATTTGCCTCATCGATTCTATCTACTTCAATTTTTATTCCTGGGTCAACTTCACCATGATACCACCCTATGGCTGATATTCTATCTCAACTATTGCTGAAGAAATTCACAAAATTTCCCATATCTGGACCATGAGAAATTTAGTTTATTTCTTTTAACTGAAACCGTGCTCAACAATATTGTGTATACTTTGTAGATTCCAGTGGGCATCCTAGATTAGGTATTCTAAAACTTGTCTTTTCTTCTCTGTCTCTCAGTCTCTTACTCCCATTCAAAACCTTCCTAAGGTACATACTGTTAATGATATTATTTAGTCTTATTTTAGCTTTTTCACATGGAACTTTCACATACTTGCCCCTTTGGGACAAGACTGAAAAGTGTAGCTGCAAGCATATGAATGCGTCTGTGTCTATGTGTGTGAGTGTTTCTTTGTGTTTGTATGTTGGAAAATGGCATAGAAGGAATAGGGGTGAGCTTGCTGAATCCATTTTCAGGAAGTGAAAATTGAGTGTCGGAGTTATATAACGTGTCCAAATTGCCAGTTTGAACAGTGAGAATTTGACTCCACCATGTAGGACTCCAAGACAAGAGATTTTTCCATCATAAGGTGCTGTCTAATCAAGACTTGGCAATGAATGTCCTGCATCATCCTGCATCTATGGATCTTTACGATTGTCTACACACTACCCTCTAGGAAACCTTAATACTGAGGGCAGACTAGTGTACTTGCCTCTGAGGACCAATGAACATCCCTTTCCCTCTGCCTTTACTCAAATGTCTCCTCTGTCTGTAGTGCCTTACTTTTCTATTTAAATCCTATCTATATTTTGACTCTCAACTTAATTTTACCTTCTCTCTTAGATCTTTCTTTATCATCACCTTATCTGAGCTCACCATAGTATGCAATAATAGAAGAACTATTTCTTATTTAGTGCCTGATAAGTGCTAGGCACTCCTAAACACTTTTGTTTTTAATCTTCAGAAAAAATTTTGGAGAAAGCATACCCAGATTTTTCAAATAAGTAAAATAAAGATATTTGGGTATTTTCCCAAATGATTAACACCATGATCCCAACTCTGATCTCTTTGATTGCAATGCTTGTTTTCTCTCTATCTTGACTTTCTACTTCTCTTCTTAAGAATTTGCTAATAATTCCTTTTTTTCCCCTCCACAGTATGATCTAATCCATCAGCTCACAGTAAGTAAATTTCGTCCCTATGTGCTGTCACAGTTAATCACTCATTTGCTCTGGTAGTTAGTTTTAGAGCATGTGTAGTGTGTTTCTTTCTTCCACTCTTATGGCATTATAATGTTGTTGAGGACAGTGATTATGTTCTATAATATTTTGTATCTAGAACACTTGCCCAAGTGAAGAGATATGCATATAATAGAACTCAAATAAGTATTTGTTGAATGAAGAAAAACAATAATGAAGCGAATAGTACAAACTGTATAGTTAACATTTTTTTGGGAAAGGCTCCAGACCCACAAACTTGACAAAGACCCAGCACCATGGAGAAGTGGAAAGGAAAGAGAAATAAAAAGTGTGTGTGTGTGGAGAAGGGAGTTAGATTGTTGCAGCTGTGGAGGATCAGATAATGAACTTCACTTGTGCACCTTCCAGCACTCACCAGATTTCCTACACCAGAGGAAGAATCCCATTCCCACTAGACAGTTTTCCACTATACCAGAAAAGTTGTTTAAACTCATGATGTTCAACCATCCAGCCAACCATCCATCATTCATTCATTTATTCTTCTGTCAATTTGTCTATTCATTCACTCATTTTGTAGTTCATCCATTGCATTTATAATTCTTCTTTCAATTTGTTCATTCGTCTATCTTCCATAAGTCCATTTATTCAGACAACAAATATTCACAAGTTGCTTGCTATATTAGGCCCTGAGAGGAAGACAATCTTATATATATTGCTGTTCACCTGTTATGAATGCTCCTTTCTCTTCTCTTAGATTTTATGTCACTCTTGGCCAGCATCCAGGACTTAATTCTCTTCATAGCCCCTTTCCTCATGTCTAGCTTGAATGCTGATTTGGGGATATACACTCATATTATACCTTTTCATGAAACCTTATGCCTGGAGTGGTAACTCCCCACAGTCTTCTGACCAGTTCCTTTGACCTCTTGGTCTCCCTTGTATTCTTTGGCTTTCTCCTGATACCACAGAGTCTGACACTGATGTCCAAAGGACTCACAATAACAAGTAAAATTCTTCAGAGCCAGCCATTTTCCCAATATTGTCCTTCTTATTATTAATAGTTTTCCCACTATTAATATTGAACATACACATAACTTTCCAGACTATGGGACCTTCTTAGATGCAATTTACATCTCAGTTCTGCGCAGTAAGCTAATTCAACATAGATGCCTCAAACCAACTCAAATTCAGTAGTGAAGGAGAACACCCTACTGGAAAAGGTTTATTTTAAGAAGCTCTTCTTATATCTGCATAGGTAACATTTTGTTGGAAGTAAACAATTTCTGTGGTACCTACACTAGCAAAATAAATAAAACAAATAAATAAAAATATTAAACATTTCTGTGTTTAGAATTTTCTGTGGGAGTTAAGCAGATAATTGCTTCAATTCTTTTACTCTTTGTCCAGCTTGTGCTCACTTACCCATCCAAAGGGATCACAGTGCCTTCAATTCACACCAAAGTTTCAGTGGTGAGACCAGGGTGGTTGGAGAAGAGATACCCAAGTCCCTTACAGAGATAAGAGGGATCAATGCAGAAGTTAGCTTAGGGTAATTCTCCTAACGGGAACCAAGGTTTACCAATTTGTATTGAGTGGCAGTACAAAAGCACTGTCTGTCCAATTCCACTTTGTAGATCAGCATAATGTTGAATTTTGGAGGTTAAGAGTCACCATATTCCATCATTGGGGAATTATTCCATTGGAACGAGTATATTTTTAAGCACAGGGTAGCACTTCAAATGAGTCACAATATTGACACCTTTAGATCTAATGAATGATGATGATGGTGATGGCAATGAAGAAGATAATGCTCGACTCCATTCCAAGTGCTTAACATATCTTCACCTACTTATTTCTTACAAAAATCCTATGAGACAGTAGCCAATTTTATCTTTTTTTCCTTTAAAAAAAAAGCGAAACCAAAAAAACAGATGAGGAACTGAGGCAGAAATCAGTTAGGAAATTTGCCCAAGGTCAAACAGATAGCAAACAATAAAGTTGGAATTTAACCCCAGGCAGTTTGGAATGTATCTTATATCCTTCCCAAGGTGACAGGGAGCTGGGAAACTTTCCTTAAGAAATAAAGAAATAACATAGGGCTTTAACACTTTGTCAACCTCAAATGTATTTAATTTAAAAATGTTATTTAATTTCATAGATTCTGGGATTGAAGGGTTACTGAGAAGAAGAAGAGAGAAAGGTTCAATGTTCCTATTGGAGAGTGCTCTATGTGATCAATAATGGAGGAATTTGGATACTTAGAGGCAATGTAAATCCTGTGGGATCTGGTAGATCCTGGGACCATGGATAAAGGGTGAAAGGAGGGAAGCAAGGAATAATAACGTTACTGAATTTAAACTTTTTCTTAAACATTTCTTGGCTTCTGCTCTTCCCTTATGTGCTTTAGCACCTACATTAGTTTGATCAGTTTTGAAGATGAAGGGTGTTAGTAATAGCAGAAAAGTGAACTTCTCATGGTACATGTGATTGGCCCTAGAAAAGGACCAAGAATCCCCCATGTACTCTGGTGTAATCTCCCCACTCTTCCCCTCACTGTTTCATTCCCAGCTGCTGTGCCCTGCTTTAATTGTACTCCTAGAACCTGGGCTAATGCAGAGTTTGAGCCCAGGATGGATGAAACCCCTATTCCCAATGCCTAACGTAAATCATCAAGACCAGAAAGATTTTCCCAGATAGCTTCTCAGAGTAGCTAAGCATATAGTCCCAGCTGTGTGAAAAATATGAAAGTCTGCCTAGCTTTAGGGGTTCAGTCTCCAGCACACAGAAGGTCTATGAGAAGACCCAGGGTGAAAAGACCTACCTCAGAGAGCTAGAAAGAGAAGGTCTCATGAGGAGAGAGAAAGAAGTGGTCAGGATAGCAAGAGGAAAAACTTCACAGCAACCATAGAGGACATTATCTACTGAATTCCTGACTTTTTATGGCTCGGAAGACTTCCCACTGCTCTGACTTTTCTTGGGACTAAGAAGTGTCTATGTTCATGAGGAGCAGTAATTTTGTGACCCTAATACTCCGTAACATGTTTTCTTTTTCAAAATGGGCTATTGAGAGCTTGAGATAACTAACGCCATGATGAACCTATAAGTTTTTTTCTGACTGCCTTCTCCTTTCCGCATACTTTTGTTAATGACTCTATATTGTTCTGTCCGGCCACCTGTGACTTATGACCCCCTACGTGAAGATTAGAGCCCAGATGTCTGGCATGTATATCTTTAGTCTGATAAAGAGTCTCTTGTACTTATATTGTAATGAATAACTCACCTGGCCATGCCATCTGAGGGCTACATGCCAAAAGATACTTCTAACCCTTGTAACAGCAATATATAAGCTCTACTGTAAAATTGCTTTCTGGGACTCCATAAAGACAGCCTGCATTGCTGCCAGACTCCCTGTTGGTATTATCTCCTAAATAAACTTTCTGTTTCTGACTTGGAGCATGTTTCATTGGCTCGATTGCTCCAGGACACGGACCCTAATTGGGCAACAGTTTTACAACCCAGTTGTAAGAACTGCACATTATCTTTTTCATAGTGGGATATTACAGTAAGGGTATGAAAATTGGT